ATAAAGTAGCAGTATGGTATGTATAATGAATAAATTGTAATGGTTGTTTGTGTATTTTGAGAATGGCAGCACATGCATGCACGCAAGGAAATCGATATTGTTGAAATTTTTTGCAAGTGCAGGTAATTAAGGAAAGATCTACAATGCGGAAGTTACCATCATTACTTTTAACTTCAAAAACTGAATCACTAGCTTGATATACCATTCTTTTGCGACAGCTATCAATAACGGATTGAAGTTGCTGAGTAATAGTTTGTGGTAACATTGCTTGCACAGAAGAATATGTTGTATAACGATTAAAGTAAAGTGCATTAACTCTGCGAATAAGCAAAATAATCGCTTCAAGTGGTTCTGCAAGACGTTCATCATGTAACCAAGAATTCAACGACTCAGATGTATTGGACGTAAGATGACCAAATCGGTTTCGAGGACATTTGCTAAGTGTCCACGTTGCAGAAGGTATTTCATTAAGATATGCAGCAGCTTCTGCATGCATATTAAAGATTTCTTCCATAATTTCGGCAAAACCTTCTATGTGCAATGCTTTTGCTGCTGCCCAAATTTTACCATCGAGCTTTGTTCTAAACTTTGTGTTGACATTTTTTTCAATATGCCATACACAATAAGCGTGAAAGGCATTAGGAAGTTTTGAGTAAACAGCATCTGAAATACCCTATTTGAATTTTGTATTATTATATAATCAGAATAAATTGTGTATAACAAATTAGTAAAGCAACAAGAATACCTTTTCGCGGTCACTTATAATTACAGATTCATTTGTATTAATTAATGGAAGTGCTACATTTAGATTTTCACAAAACCATGCCCAATTACTTGAATTCTCAACAGATCCAATAGCAAACGCCACGGGAACAAGTTTACCATCACCTTCAATTACATTTGCACAAAAATATACACCATTATAGCTCGATTTTGAATGACATGCATCGAGAGTAAAGACAGGTCTACAGTATTCGGTAGCCTTTATCCATGGTATCAAACAAAGAAATGCACGAACAAATCGATTTTCATCATCTACCTCAAATGAAGTAATGCTTCCAGGATTTGCTATAAGTAAATCGTCAA